GGCCTCAGCACAGCCTCCCTGATCTCCCCTTGGCAGCTGGGGAAGTCATCCAGGTGCCGGAAACAGTCACACCTGGGGCTCGGCTCTACACTTTGCTCCCAGGCCTGGAACTCCAGGGAGCCCAGGTGAGCCCCGCAGGTGAGCAGTGTGGGGGGGGGGGGCGCAGAATGGAGGCAGAACGGGGAGCCCAGGCTCAGCCCCTGCCTGGCCAGGCATGGCCTGCAGAGGGAGCCTTTGTGCACAGCTGAGACTGCAGGGCACAGGCTCAGGGAGAGGGCTGTTCACGCTGCCCCTCGGTGACCATGGCTGTTCCTACAGGAACCTCTCAGGGCCGAGTTCCTTCAAGCTCTCTGTGTTCTGAATTCTCCATGAAAATTCTGTACCACTTTTGTAATGAAAAAAAAAAAAAAAAAGAAATGTTGTTAACACACACACACACACACACACACACACACAGAGTAAATGGCTTAAGAACAGAAAGGATTAAGGATCAGGGCCAAAGGGGCCGAGCTAGGGTAAGCGTCAGTGTCAGGGGTCTGGGAGGGTGGTGTGCAAACAGGTACCTGCTGGGCTGTTGGGGATTTGATGGGGATGCCTGGGGCACTGGGCTGGGGACCCCAACATCTCTGCCCTGTTAGGTGAACATCACCAGTGCCCAGGACCCTCCACACTTCCCTGGACCCTTCTCCATCAATGGGCAGGGCTGGCTGCAGGCACCCCCCCAGGGCCTCAGAGGCCAGGCTCCAAAGGTGAGCATGACCGGGACCTGGGGGTGCCCATGGCCTGGGCATACAATGGGCAGAGCTACCACCTCCTGGAGGCTTGCTTGCTCTTGGCCTCCTGGGCCTCCTACGTGATGCCGCCTGTGCCCGCACCCCCACCCGCACCCACACCCACAGTCCCAGGCGGGCCGTCCTCCCACCGTGGCCTGGCCTGGGTCGGCGCTGAGCTCCGCTTCCAGAAGGAAGAGGGTCCCTGGCTCTGGGAGCCATGGCGCCTCGGGGAGAAAGGAGTGCTCAGAGCCATCCCACAGGGAGGGCGAGATCGGGAACAGTGGCCGGTGCCCTGGAGGAGGTCGGGGACGTTCCTTCTTTAAAACTTCCGAGTCGTAGTGACAGGCTCTTAGCAGCTCCCAGATGGCACGTCACATCGTGAAGGACTCAAACAGGACGCTTTCGGGGGCTGCTGCACCCTAATGGAAGGGCTCATGGCCCAAGATGGGACCAAAGGGAAATGTTAGCAGTGGCGCCTGCTGGGAGGAGAGGATGTTGGGGCTCCTTGTGGAGGGCGCACGGGTTGAGGCACCGTGGTCCTCCTCCTGTGCCGTGTCCTGCAGCTCTTCCAGCTCCAGGTGCTGGTGACCTTCCGGCGAGGCCGCAGCTGCCGGGGGCTGCTGACCGTGG